TGGGGAAGGAGAGGGTGGAAATGGAGAAGGAGGAGATAAACAAAAGGAGGGGAGGGTGGATATTTTATATTTTCAGTAGTTTGGTATAGTTCTGAGCCTGGTGCTGAGGCCAATGAAGAACATCAGGTTTTGTTTTATTGAAAATACCAAGGAACCTCAAACCACAGAATTAAGAATTAAGGTAGATTCTCTCTTCCCCCCTCCCCTCCCCAAGAAAACCTCATAGCCAAGTACTTCTTCACATACTGTGCATAGTAAGACAATGAAACTTGGTAACATAAAATGTGGCAAATCCCATCTGCAAACAGCCATAAAAGGGGCTAGTCAGCTTCACATAAGATAGGTTTTTGTTTATGTTTGTTAGTAAGGATGGTTAAACATTCAGCCATGTAATGGGCTGGCCTTCTCATAGATATCAAGTTCTCACTTTATCAATCAATCACAATAGAGCTGGAAGAGACCTTGGAGATCTTATAGTCCAACCCCCTGCTCCAGCAAGAGACCCTAGACCATTTAAGACAAGTGACTGTCCAGTCCTTACAATGGAAGATAGGACAAGACTTGGGCTATCACTGTGTTTTTTCATATTCTTATGATTTATGTTCTTATGCTACTCTTGCTTGTAATCTTAGAATTTCTTGCCTGATAGGTCCAAAGGAATGATGTTCATAGAAAGACATAGATCAATAAAGTCAGGAAATCAAAGAAAACAAACTGGTACATCTCCTATGCACTGTGACTTTTCCAATACTACATGTGGAAGCAGGGCAAGAAAAATAAATAGCTGGAATGAGAACCAGGAAAAACTTGTTCTGCGCCTAGCCAGCCACACCGACATGATTGCGTACACTTGGCCACGCCCACCCACCCCAAGTCATCCGCCCCGAGTCATCTGCCCCCAATGGGCTGCACCTAGTCCTTCGCGTCGACACAGCCACACCCATTCACCCATGCCCACCTGGAATTCCCATCGGGAATTGTCCTTAGTCGGGTGGAAAAAGTTTTGCAGGGCTTGCAGGGGTTTTCCAAAGAAGCACCTTTAAGTCGGTTAACTGCTGGGCTTGCCACTGGAAGGAGATGGGGACACCTTCTTGAGTCTCCAGCCTTGGCCCCACGCCTTAATTCCTTCTACCTTCACTGCAGTAGGAGTGCTCAGAAGGACTTGA